TTCCAGGAGCAATCGAACTTCGATTTCAGCAAGCTTATAGTCAAACTGAGCGTCTCGGAAATACGAACCCAATGACACAAAGATCAACCCAATCAGAGCCCAAATAAGTCTGAATCAAGAACCCGAAGCGCTATTGGAAGGTTTAAACCGCAATTTGAGTTACCAAACGATCTCCGATTTTGACGAACTTATACTCGAATCGAACGGCTCGACGAGACGAATCCAACGAGTCAAAGATTGCCGAATTCCAACATCACTAAGTCCTCCAAATGTCAAACGAACAGTGCACAATCGAAGGGTTCAATATCGGCCGTCCATTCAAACCACTCCCTATTCGCCCATGATCTCACACCTATTTACGAGCTATGCCACTCCAGAAAAACTATAAATAGAGCCCTCATTCTTCACAAGGGGGACTCAAGTGAAGAGAGAGAAGAAGAAGAGAAGGAGGAGAAGGAAGAAGCTCCTCCTTGACCACCGCCAGAGTTCGTCCTACCGCTCGAACACGTCGGGATTCTGCGTGATATTCGGAAGAACGCAGGAATTCTGCCCAACTTCCACGTGATGCTGAAATTCTTAACAATTTACAATAGAGTTCCCTCCTGACTCCGAAACTCCGCCCAAGTGAAGCCGAAGTTCTCCTCTGCCACAAACCGACGCCGGCCTTCTACCGGTTATCGGACTTCGCTGGGCGTCTACATGAAGATGGATTTTTTCCATTGTTGGACTTCTACCTGATGCTGTCCTTCTGATCTTCATCGTCAGACTATAGTTCTTCCGACCTCCATCGCCCGCCGACTACGGTCCTCCTTACTTACGTCGCCTGCCGACTATAGTCCTTCCGACCTCCATCGCCAACCGACTATGGTCCTCCTGACATACGTCGCCCACCGACTACAAGTCCTTTCGACCTCCGTTACCCTACGACTACAGTCCTTCCGACCAAATGAACATGTCAACAATGACTCTTTGTATTAACATCATGTAATGTACTCCAAAAGATGTACATCAAGCTAAGGCCTTCTCCCAAGGAAGGGCCTCATTTGAAATCGACTGCAAATACTAGTGGATTTGTTCAAATTGGGCTAGGCCCCGTGGTTTTTCCCCCTTTTTCAGGGGTTTTTCACGTAAAAAATCTTGGTGTCTCATAAATGCTAGACCCTCTCTCCTTATTTGATTGCGTGCCGGATTTTCGCACAACGCTAAGACGTTAAAAATGATATTTCTCTAACACCGTGAATACTCCTGGACGCAATAGTTTGGCGCCGTCTGTGGGAACGTGATTCCCGACTGGGGGGGCAACTTTTGCTCCAATCTCAAAAGATCGCTCTTATCAACTTCCTGACATCAGTCATTGTTGCATTAGATGTGGACTGGGGGGCAACTTTGACCCCAATTCTGGTAAAAAAGATCCTCCGATGCTTTATATATCAAGATGATATTTCGGGAAAATCCCAGCGACATGCAAGGATACTTCCAATCAATTACAAGCCTTATACAGTCCTCTGCTGGGCTTCTACTCCTTGGACAAAGTCTTAATCTCATCCTAAAAAAGGCAGTAACGGTTTAAAGATAGACCAGTCTTCACCTTTGATTCGGGATATACGCGGCGTTCGCCCCCTCCTAATCAAAGCAAAATCAATCCCAGGGGGATTCGATTTAACATCTTCCTCACAGGTTAACGTCGTCGAGCAAATGCTCTGACATACAACCTTGGAAAGGTCTCAGATCCTTGGTGGATTCTCTTGACCTCTTCCACATAGGTTAACGTCGTCGAGCAAAGGCTCTGACATACAACCTCAGAAATGTCTCACATCCTTGGTGTATTCTCTCGACCTCTTCCACACAGGTTAACGTCATCGAGCAGGGCTCCGACATACAACCTCGGAAAGGTCTCACATCCTTGGTGGATTCTCTCGACCTCTTCCACACAGGTTAACGTCGTCGAGTAAAGGCTCCGACATACAACCTCGAAAATGTCTCATAACCTTGGTGGTTTCTCTCGACCTCTTCCACACAGGTTAACGTCGTCGAGCAAAGGCTCCGACATACAACCTCGAAAAGGTCTCACATCCTTGGTAGATTTTCCCGACCTCTTCACATAGGTTAACGTCGTCGAGCAAAGGCTCCGACATACAACCTCGAAAAGGTGTCACATCCTTGGTGGATTCTCTCGACCTCTTCCACACAGATTAATGTCATCGAGCAAAGGCTCTGACATACAGCCTCAGATAGGTCTTACTTCCTTGGTGGATTCTCTCGACTTCTTCCACGTAGGTTGACGTCATCAGGCAAAGGCTTTGACATACAACCTCAGATAGGTCTTACATCATTGTTGGATCCAATAACGGTTAACATCATCGAGCAAAGGCTATGAAAAACAACCTCTGACAAATTATACATCCTTGGTTAACGTCACCAAAATGAAGTCAATGGACTTCCATCGGACTTCTGCACAAAGTTAAATTTCTACCTGATGTCGAATTTCCTCCTATCGCTGAATTTTTGCCTTGCAGGACTTTCAACGGACTAACACCCGATATTGTACTTCTACGCGACGCCGGACTTCTACTTGTCGTCGAACTTCTGTTTGTCGACGAATTTTCGTCGGTCTTCTACCCTACGTTGTACTTCTACCCGACGTCGGACTTATCCCTGTCGTCGGACTTCTGCTCGTCGACGAACTTTCGTCGGTCTTCTACCGGACGTTGGACTTCTCCCAATCATCGGACTTCTGCTCGTCGATGAACTTTTGTCAGTCTTACACTTGCGTCGGAATTCTCCCTGTTGTCAGACTTCTGCTCGTCAGCGGACTCCTACTCGTCGTCGAACTTCTGCTCATCGATGAACTTTCGTCAGTTTTCTGCCCAACGTAGGACTTCCCCCTGTCGTCGAACTTCTGCTCGTCAGTGGACTCCTACTCGTCAGACTTCTGCTCATTGATGAACTTTCGTCGGTCTTCCACTGGGCATCGAAATTCTCCCCATCGTCGAACTTCTGCTCGTCAGCGGACTCCTACTCGTCGTCAGACTTTTGCTCGTCGACGAACTTTTGTCGGTCTTCTACCCGACGTTGAACTTCTACCCGACGTCGGACTTCTTCCTCTCGTCGAACTTCTGCTCGTCAGCGGACTTCTACTCGTTGTCAAACTTCTACTCGTCGACAAAAATTCGTCAGTCTTCCACCTGGCATCAGAATTCTGCCCATCGTCGGACTTCTGTACGTCAATGAACTTCCGTCGGTCTTCTGCCCGACGCCGGATTTCTACAGTTCAACAGATATCTCGAAAAACAGAGGGGCGGAAGAAAAATCCACTAAACTCCTACACGAGAGGAGGGGCGCTAATTGGAGCAGGGGAAATTTCCCACTCGCAAATAGCGAAAGCCTCAACCGTTAGAAAGCCGTGGGGGAAGGAAGAAAAATCCTGTAACTCCTGCACGAGAGGAGGGGCGCTAATTCAAACAAGGGAAATTTCCCACTCACAAATAGCGAAGCCTCAACCGTCAGAAAGCCGTGTGGGATGGAAGAAAAATCCCGTAACTCCTGCATGAGAGGAGGGGCGCTAATTCGAGCAGGGGAAATTTCCCACTCGTAAATAGCGGAAGCCTCAACCGTCAAAAAGCTGTGGGGGAAGGAAGAAAAATCCCGTAACTCCTACACGAGAGGAGGGGCGCTAATTCGAGCAGGGAAAATTTCTCACTCGCAAATCGCGGAAGCCTCAACTGTTAGAGAGCCAGAGGGAGAAGAATGAGAAGTTGCAAATTTTATAAAGGCCTGGGGGGCCTATTTATAGGTTTTGAAGAAAAAAGTAGAGGTTTTTGTCATTTTCGGAATGTCCTATTTTTCTAATTTTTTTTCGAATTTTTTGGAATTTTTTGGGCATAAAATGGCTAAAAAACGCCTATTTTTGGCAAGTGGGACCCACCTAAGGCGGTGCAGCCAATCTGTGGCCAAAAGGCACGGATTGCGGCCAGCCACGGCAGCCAGTGCGGCAAGCCATGCGTGGCAAGCCAGGCGCGGGTCTGGGTGCAACCCATGCGGGCGTGGGAGGCCAGCCGCGCGCACCCCAGGCGGCGTGACCGCCGTTCCGCGCGGCAAGCCTATGCGGCCGATGTTCTGCGCGGCAGGCCGCTGTTCCGCGCCGCTGCTCCGGCCGGTACGGCTGCCCAACCCAATCCGGGCCCATTTTTTCGCCGCGAAAGGACCAAATTTGATGTTTTTGGGGTCCCAGACACGTTTTTCGACATTCTGGACTCAATTTTGCAACTTTCGGAGCTCAACGAAGCCTATATGATCCAGTTTCGAGAAACACTTAATTTTCAGAACGCGATTTTGGGTGTTTTGGCCTATACAAATTTTTGAAGCATATATTTTCGGACTCTTGGAGCTTCGATGTCCGAAAATAGACAACATCACAAAATTAGCTTGATCGGACACGAATCTCGAGGCAAAAGCTTGTTAGAAACTTCAAAAATTAATTCCGGGAGCACCCGAACTCTGATTTCAGCAAGCTTATAGTCAAACTGAGCGTCTCGGAAATACAAACCCAACGACACCAAGATCAACCCAATCCGAGCCCAAATGAGTCTGAATCAAGGACCCAAAGCTCTATTGGAAGGTTCAAACTGCAATTTGAGTTACCAAACAGTATCCGATTTTGACGAACTTATACTCGAATTGAACGGCTCGACGAG